CGTCCACGCTCACGGCCACACAGCGATCAGAGCCAGATCTAAGACTGAATGGGGTAGGTTTCTGGCTCCCAGATACACAGCGAAGCCCCCAGCCCACGCTGTTTCTTGGCAAAGCCCCTCCACGTTCCTTTGACTCGGGCCCGCCCTAGTGTGTCTCTGGAAATATTGTAGCTGTCACAATCGTTGTTCTAATAAAATACTCATCTGACGATCTATTAGTAAGGCATATTGTTGACAGGAAATGTGCATTTGCCATATTTCCCATTATATTGTCTATTTCCTGCCTCATTTTTCTTGGGAGGGCAGGAGTCACTGAAGATAATAGCGTATTGACAGAAAGAGAAAGCAAGGGAAAGAGATCGTTGAAAGTGGGGGAATGTAGCTCTATTCGCCTGCGAAGGAAGCTTTCCAGCAGGGAACCCACACTCATTTCCTGTCCCTTGCCGACTGCATCTGCCCTCAAAACCGGTTGTCTCCCAGTCCCGAGAGGCGGGCTCCCTGGTCAGCGGATGGAGGCCCAGCCAGTTGTTACTGGGGCTGTGGTTAGGGGGGCTTCTTTAAGAACCCCGAAGAGAACGTGAAACGAACGGTTTCCCTTACAGCACAACCAACAGGACCTAATGGGGGATGGTAGGACACGAAGGCAGAAAGCACCCTCTTTTCTAGAAGCTTCTGCCCACAACCTCTTCTGTTTCGCTATCAAATTGCAAATAGTGCACCACCAGGGAAAAGAACAAACAAACAAAAAGCCAAACCACTCACTGGTTGTGCAGAGGCCAGTGGCGCGTGCCCCAAAATGTCAGTAAGCAGCACCCACCGCTGTGGATTTGAATGTTTCTGGGTAGGCGTTCCTGCTGAGGGACGATCCCACCTGCAAAGGTCCCCCAGCACCCCAGCCGGCACTCGGGAAGCTCTGGTTTTGCAGAGGCCTTGGTCCTTGAGGGTCCCTGGGAGGGAGGGGGCTCAGACGGGGGCAGCGGATTGAGTGCCCTCAGCAGCCTGAGGGATGGCAGGAGGGGCCAGAGGCTCCCCCGGTTTCCAGAAGCCCCGGCAGGTGGGCGTCATCCAGGGTGACCCGCGGGCCCAGTTTGCCCGGCGCTGGCCTGGCTTTAGCACTGAAACCGCTCAACCCCAGGAAGAGCCGGGTGACTGGTTGGCCCACAAATGAGAATATTTAACAGTCATTGCGATGCTTTCTAGCTCCATGCGCCCTGAGCTGGTTCCCAGCGGTGGAGACACAGGATTGGGAAGTTACGCAAACACGATCTAAGCAGCCGTGGGCAAGCGGGAGAGCTCCCGGGCTCAGGTAACGCGCCGTGGAAGCATCTCTGAGTCTCGGGCGAGCTGGGGGCGGGTGGGGGGCGGCTCGCATTCCCGCGAGGACAGCGCCCCCTGTGGCAGGAGGTCCTCTGCATCCTCCCGGCCTGGGCCCGGTAGGACTGCTGCGTCCCTCCCCCCCCCCTCCCCCGCAAGGAGCCCTGGGGACTCGCGCAGGTGCACCCTCAGGGGTCACTGGCGACGTGAGGGTGCCAGACAGGCACAGACCCCAGGGGAGCCTTTCTTCCCTGCCTCTCGGTCCCGGTCCAACCTACACACCGCGCCCAGCCCGCCAGCATGCCGTGGAAGCATTTTCCTACGAAAAATTATTGCCGCCCCCCCCCCTGCGACCCCCCCAGGGCCGGGCAGCCGGGGGGGGGGGGGGGGGGGGGGACAGGCCTTCCAGTGGCACTTCCCTCTCCTCCCAGGGGATTCTGAGTTCTGAATTAGGAAGGTTGTTTGCAATGGATGCCATGCGTCTTTGTCTACCTGGCTTTCCAAGGCTAGAACTTGCAAAATAGAAATCTTGCTTTTGAGGAATACCTTGGACCTGAGAACTGAGATAAACGCTTCAGAGAGCCCGCTGTGTCCTTGGTGCTGGGCCGGGGCTGGCGACACCTGGAGAAGGATGCTTGGGGCTCCTCTGCCTCAACGGGTGCCAGGTGCACATCTGAAACCAAACTGGGGGCCCTTCAGCAAGCCTCTTGCTGTCCCCCCCGAATGCTCCCAGGCAAATGCATGAGGAGGCCTCAGCAGGAAGGCTTCCCAGACAGGCAGGCTGAGTTGGGGACCTTACTCTGTGCTTCCTGTCCTTCACTAGTATTTGTCTCTTTCATAGCTCTGTTTACTGGCCCGGTCTGGCCTTCTTCACTGTTGTAGCCCCAGAATTTAGCACAGTGCCAGGCAGGCAGCAGGCACTTAATGCATACAATAATTACCACCATCAAGAGCATTAATTATGCCACACACTTTATGGCAAGCACTTTACATATAGTCTTTGATTTCGTATTCCCATTCACCCCGTAAGTTCAAGATAAAAAACAATTGTGCTAAAATACACATAAGATTTAACATTTTGGACTCTCTTTGAGCACGGGTAGTTCAATGGCATCAAATACATTCACATTGTTGTGTCAACCACCACTGCCATCCATTTCCAGACCTCTCTTTGTCCCCCCAAACAAAACTCTGTACTCCCTAAATAGTAACTCCGTGTTTCTGGTCCCCAGCCTCTGGCAAACACCATTCCGCTCTCTGTCTCTATGAATCTGACTCCTCGGGGGGCCTCGTAGAAGTGGAATCATACAATACTTGTCCCCCTGTACCTGGTTTATCTCACTTAGCACGGACGTCCTCAAGGTTTATTCGCGATGTAGTATGGTTCAGAATTTCCTCCCTTTTTAAGGCTGCACAATATTCCACTGTATGAAAAGATACCGTGTTTCATTTATCCATGTGCCTGTTGATGGACGAGAGAGGGAGGGCAAGCAGGGGAAGGACAGAGAGAGAGGGGGACAGAGGATCTGAAGCGGGTTCTGCTCTGACAGTAACAAGCCTGATACGGGGTTCAAACTCATGAGCCGTGAGACCGCGACCTGAGCTGAAGTCGGACGCTCAACCCACTGAGCCACCCAGGCGCCCCAAGGGTCAGGATTTTTTAAATCTTCACTTTACAAAAAAAGTATATGGTGGCTGAGAGAAAGTAAGCGATTTTCCCCAGGTACCTCATGTTACCAAACCGGTCAGTGGCAGAAGCAGGTCTGAACTCCATGCCGATTGGTGGCTGCTACACCAGAGCTCTCCCCAGGCATTGAATGGATGAATAAGACTGTTCCTAAATTGTATTCGTAAGGGTAATGCTAGCTGCCGTCACAAACAGACCTCTACATTTCATTTGGCTTCACAGCGAAATACAAGTTCATTTCCCATTTATGTAAAGTGTGATGTGGGTGGTCCAAGGTTGGCTGGGGCCATTTCTCCATGGGGTCATTTCTCCATTTCTCCTGATCCAGGGCTCAGAGTTCCTTGATGTTGTGACTTGACTGTCTTTTAGAGCCTGGAGTCCTCTGCCTCCAGGCATCGAAAGGGCAGAGAGACTGTGGGAGAAACACAGCTGCTTCTAGAACACTGTGACCTGGAAGTGACTCCCACACACCTCCACTCATATCTCACTGGTGGCAGCCAGTCCTGTGGCCATGCCTGCGGTGAGGGTGGCCAGGAGATGTGGCTCCCAACTGGGTAGCTGTTTCCAGAAGCCTCTCCACTTTCTGTAAGGGGGAGGATGAACTTTTTGTTGTGAGCCTGTCATGCCGACACTGTTGTGGAATTTCAAGAGGCTGACGCAGAGAGAACGCTAGAAAAACGTTTGTGTCCACGAGGCCCAGGCATCAGAGTGAGCAGAGACATGATCTATTTTTTAAAGTTTATTTATTTATTTTGAGGGGGGAAGGGGCCGAGAGAGAGAGGGAGAGGGAGACTTCCAAGCAGGCTCTGTGCTGTCAGCACAGGGCCTGAGGTGGGGCTCGATCCCATGCCCCTGGGATCAAGACCTGAGCTAAGATCGAGTCGGACGCTCAACCGACTGAGCCACCCGGACGCCCCGAAACGTAATTTGGATGCAGCTGTGTCTCCGATGGTTAATCTCCCTTTTCTGTTCTCCCAATGTCGTGGGTTAATCCTGAAGGTTATTTCCTGTACCCGCCTCAGTGTGGAAGCACATTTCCATAGACGGCAGATAAAGATCTCTTAACCTCGTATTTTCCCGCATATCGTCATAAATAGCTTATGTGATGCCATTTCAGTGAGTGTGACAGTTTCTACAATGAGATCTGGATGCAGCGGCATATCCTCTTGTCATATATAAAAAAGAGTGACAGCATTTCATCGTTTACGGTGACATCAATGAAGTCTGCTTGTAGAGGTTCCCAATCCATCCATTCATAATACCTTTTATGACTTTAGGCTTTTAAACACGGTGCTCTGGTCTATTTTTCAAATGCACTACCATTATCAGCTCGGGGAGTCGTTCTTCAATATATCATTTTCCTAAGAATATCTAGAATATCTTAATTTTTATGAGGTTTCTCTGTGGGGCAAGCTGTCAGGTATGCCTTTAATGTGAAAACGGGGTTGGTTGGGGGGGGGGGCTGCTGCTGGATCATCCTCTCTTGTGATGTCTGAGGACGTGTTTCCCATTTTCTCTTTCTGGCAAACTCCCCAGATAAAGAGCCCATGAGAGGTGTGGTTCCCGAGCCCAGCTGTCTACTCTGTATGGGGAAGTAAGAGGGTGCCAAAGAGGGCAGTGAGATCCCAGATTGGGTCACATTGTGGGCCAACCCCTCCCCCCAACAGAGCAGTTCTTGAAAGTTCCTCTCAAGGCAAAGCACAGTTCTCATGCCACCAAGGGTTCAAGGCGATGAAACTTCCTCTCTGCTTCCCAACTGTGATTAGAAGAGCCCTCGTGGTCCCCAAGGAAGTGACCACTTGGACACAGGTGGGGCATCACAAGTGGCACTGTTCCCAGTAGCAGAGTTTCTACTAGGATTTGGCAAGATCAATGTCAGATCTAGCCCTAGTGGACTGGGAACAATCTCCCCCCATCGGTGGATCCCTCGGACAGCCTGGGGGCCGTGAAGACAATTCCGGAAGTGACTTCGATGGGAAAAATAATGATGGCTATTGATTTAGGGAAGGAAGGTGACGCAGCCTGAGCCCGCCCACAGCCAGCAACGCAGGGCACATCGCAAACGTGCCAGACACTCCGAGGAAGAGCACATTTGACCTAATTTAGCAACAACAAATCCTTTTCCTCACGCGTACTTCTCTAATTACAAACGAGATGCTGGTAGGCTCAGCAAGGGAAAATAAAATTGATTCCCTGCACATAGTATTGGAGATGATAAATGTGTTCAAGAACGGGCTTCAGAAGCCTGCCTGCTGATTAGAAAAGGCAAATAATTGTGAGAGAGTGACTGATAGACCGGAGGGATGGAGGCAGGATCAGCCTCCTCGAAGAGATACCAGAGGTCTGATCGCTTCAAGATAATTACATTCAGGTGTCTGTGTGTTTCATGCTTACCCTTTGGTCCGTGGGGGTGTTGCGGGGATCCCCAGATCAACTCTGCTCCAGTGGTTCCGGCTTTCTCTTTGTTTAAAGCCTGTTGGGCAGCCCTTCTGTCTTCTTGATGGCAATGGCGGTGGCCCTTTCATTTGTCCCCTGGTGCCGACCATGATTCCTGGCACACAGGGGGCACGCCGCACTTAGGAGGATGGGTCTTGATGTCGTGGGTTTGCGTCCTGACTCCAACGCATGCAGACTGTAACTTCTGGGAAATCACTTAGCCCCTCAGGGCCCATTTCCACATTTTTTGGAGTGAGTTTCAATAGCACTTTGCAGTTTGCAAGATGTTACATGCAATGGGTAGAATAAAGCATTTAGTTTGACCTATAGAAAACTGTTGGTATTTAACTATTTTTTGAACTCACTAAGCCATAATTTCATGTGGTTCCACCTAACATGTATTAGTTATTTATTACTGCCGAATAAACGACCCCCCGATTTGGCAACTGAGCACAACAAACATTTATGATCTCCCTGTTTCTGTGAGTCAGGGACCCAGGTGTGGCTGAGCTGAGCTGTTGCCAGGGCTGTGGTTTCATCTGAGGACTCACCTGAGGGGGACGCACGGCTCAGCTCAATGTCGGCTCACTCCCTGGCTGTTGGTAGGAGCTGATGGAATGAGGGCTCAATTCCTGGCTGGTTGTTGGCTCCAGGCTGCCTGGAGGGAGTTCCCCACAATGTAGACTTCTCCACTGGGCTGTCTCATGACACGGTTGCCCCAGAGTGAGCAACTGAGAGAGAGAGAGAGAGAGCCCAACATGGAAGCTACAGTCTTTATGACCTCATATTGGACGTGATGTTTCATCTCCCCTGCCATATCCTATTTGTTAGAAGCAAGCTTTCGAGCCTAGCCTATGCTCAAGGGGAAGGGATTATTACATAAGAGTGTGAAAACCGGGGGTGCCTGGGTGGCTCCGTTGGTTGAGCGTCCGACTTCGGCTCAGGTCATGATCTCTTGGTTTGTGAGTTCGAGCCCCGCGTCGGGCTCTGCGCTGACAGCCCAGAGCCCAGAGCCTGCTTCTGATTCTGTGTCTCCCTCTCTCTGACCCTCCCCAACTCATGCTCTCTCTCTCTCAAAAATAAATAAACATTAAAAAAATTTAAAAAAAAAGTGTGAAAACCGGGGGGCGCCTGGGCATCTCAGTCGGTTGAGCGTCCAACTTCGGCCCAGGTCATGATCTCGCGGTTTGTGAGTTCGAGCCCCACGTCGGGCTCTGCACTGTCAATGTGGAGCCCGCTTCAGATCCTCTGCGCCCCCCTGACCCTCCCCTTTCTGTGCTCTGTCTCTCAAAAACAAATAAACTTTTTTTTTAATAAGTGTGAAAACCAGGAGGCCGGCGACACTGGGGTCCGTCTTGGGATCCTCCTACAGAACGTGTTACACCCAGCCCGGCATCTAGCACACAAACCTCAAGAAACGGCGGTTAAGGAGAATTAATGAAGGGGAAGAGAAACAGGACCAGATATGTTTCCATTTGCATCTTAGTTTAATTGGAATACAATATTTTTTCCCTTGGTGAAATGAGATGGATAGAATAATCTGGACTAAAATGCCCAGGGGCAGCAGTCCCAGAGAATCCCTTTTCTTGTGAAATGCCTTTGGTCCTCTCCACCTTGTAACCTGCCATCTTGTCGTTCGCCGATTCTGATGTCTTGTCTGTGGTGTGCATGGAGGGCAGACCTCCCCGCAGATTTTCAGCAGTGGTGATGCTGGAGAAATCCCTGGGGCGTCATGTTGGCACCTGGACTCCCCTTCCTAGAAGGACTTCCTTTCCCGGCCGCTTAAATTTGAGTTATCTTGTAGCCGATAAGTCATAACCAACGGAATTTCTACCCGAGAGCGTGGGCCAGGTGGAGCCGTGTGGACAGTGGGAGTCTGAGGTGCTCCCGGGAGCCAAGAAACATCAGGGAAGGGAGGACTTGGCTGGTAGCAGGAGGATCCAGGCTTGAATCTCGACTTTTCTTACCAACTGGTTGACCTGGGCAGGCCCCTGACCTCTCTGAGTTAGTCGCTCCTCACTTCTCTAAAGGCAGCAGTCGTAACTAATCTAAGGCTGGTCCCAGAGGGTTTCATTGCCTGTGTAGACCGCTGTGGATGGCGGCAGCCTCCTGGATTCTTGCGCTGGAAGGACTGTGAGTTTTATCGCAGGGTCCACGGGAGGGGTCTGGTGTTGATTAGTCATGTCTGCTGCAGGTGAGGAAGGGCAGTGGGGGGCACGTACACCTTTGCTTCGGTCAACCCTGTTTGAAGGCTTCCAGTGAGGTGTGAATGTGTTGATGTACGTGAAAGTTCCTCATACCTAGTCGAGGCTCAATAAATATCTAGTATGCAGCAAAACCTTGGGCTGCGAGGAACTCGTTCTGCGAGTGTCCACAAGACAAGCAAACATTTCTAATACGTTTTAACTTGACGAACGAGCGAGGTCTTGCAACACGAGTAGGACGCGACGCTGAACATCACATGATCGCTAGTGAGCCGATGGTTCTTGAAACTCGCTTGCACATACGGGTGCTTTGGATCACAAGCATGTTTCTGGAATGAATTATGCTCGCAAACCAAGGTTTCACCGTACTGACCGGCCCATAGTAGTTGCTCAGTAAGTATCCGTGGAGCGCTGAGAGAATTATAAGTGGATCCAGCTCTTTCTGAGTTCACACTGACGCTCATCGCGGGTCCCTGGACCGGAGGGCCGGCAGAGGTAACCAAGCTGGGCCTGCAGGCCTGCCCAAGCGAAGAGCCGGAAAAGGCATCAAAACGGCAAAGGTATTAACTTGGTGTATTTACACCCCAAGTGCTTTGCTGTCATCAGGAGCAGCCCCTTCATGAGATATAAGTAATTTGTGCAGGCTGATCCCAGTTTTCTCATTAATATGCAAATGAGGCATGCCAGTTGTTAGGTTAGAAGAAAGCTGTCATGTTTATTGTGACAGATTTAATGGATGTGTTTGGATTGTGCATTCAATGTGTTTTCAAGAGCATGTCTTATCTTTGTTTAGGCAGTAAATCAAAAATGTAAACAACAATTCATTAGCATCTGTCAGAAGCTCAAAGCCACATTGTTTCATTTGACAATCTTCCCAGAGGTGGGGGAAAAAAAACACCCTATATCTGACTTATTGAAGATTAGTTAGAAATCGCGCTGCCTTTTCCCCTCTTTTTGCTCAGCAACGTGTAAGCGGTGGTGACACAGCAGCTCTGCTCGGACAGCGGGAGGGTCGTGGGGACGCCAGCCGGGATTACACAGCTCCGCCCCCGGTGCACCTTGCAGTGGCCTGCAAAGCTCGGGTCTCGGCACACTCCCCAGCCCCCGAGGTTTTCCAGGGAAGGGTGCTGTTGGGAACAAAGTCGCTCACGGGCACATTGCCTCATTCCACAAAACGTCTGCAGCAGCCTGCTGGGAGAAAGCGATGGAACGTGGTCACAAATTCAAAAATACACAACGGAATTGGGGACCACAGAGAATACAGGCGAAGGGTGTGATCAGTTTAAGGGGGAGAGATCTGATGTGCAAGCCTCATTCTTCCATATAGCTGTTACTTTGGCCCACAGACTTAGCGCTGAGCTTCCTGGCGGCCAAAGCGAAAAGAAGAGCATTGTATGTGTTAAGATTTACTCCGTCTCAAACAAGGAAAAGGTGGGGGGGGGGGTGGGGAGGCGGACGTACTACTTTGCGAGGAGACACCAGTCTTCTCGGGCGGAGGGTGTGGGTCACCCTGGGATCCTCTGGTGTAAGATGAGGGTCTAACGTCCTAGTGTGGTACACATTTCATGGTGTTTCTTCCTTCTTTCCTGGCTTATCATCACTGCTCACACCCGCCCTTCCACATCCAACAGGATCTTAATTCCCTTTCAAAGGCAAGCTTCTGGAAATAGTTGTCTGCCCCCTGTTGTGATTCTGTGTCCTCTCCCCGACTGGACACAGCCCTGGCCACCCTCTGGCACGGTCTTCGGGGAGCTGGGCACCATGGACACCTCCTTTGTTTGTGGGGCCTGGGCCCCCTGCTGGCTGCTCCTTCCTCAGGCAAACTTCTCTTTCCCGGACCTCGCTTCCCTGATTTCTCCTGTTCTCTGAGGGCCAGCTCTGCTTCCTCGGTCCCTGTGCCTTTCCTGGGGGGTCGCTGGTTTCCCTCTGCTGAAGGCCCCCAGCTGCGTGTCTCTTGTCCAGTTCTCTCGTCTGAGGTTCAGCCCTGCATGGCCGGGTGTCTCCCGGGCCCCCCTGAGCTGGTGTCTCCTGAGCCCCAGTCCCTCTGCCGGAGACTGGAGACTGCCGTCCTCTTCCTCGGGTGCACGTACCTCCTCTGTGGCCCTGAGGTCCCTGCCGTCATCAAGGCTCTCGCCACTCACCTGGAGTGGGGCACGGCCTTTCCCGCACCCCGGCCCGGCCCCCTCAGGTTCCTTCTCAATCCTGGAGCCCCAGAGATCTTTCCAAGATGCCTGTCTGAGCAGACCTTTTCCCTGCTTACAGTAGGGTGGTAGGCTTTTCAGCCTTCAGGGGGACCCTGGGTCCCTGTCCTGCTCTGTGAACTCTGTAGAACCAGTCCCTTCTTCATGACACCCTGGCTCTCCGACCGCAACCCCCGACTTACGCTGCACCTGGATGCAGACTGTCCCTCCTGCCCCACGCCCCCGACTGCACCTTGCGCTGCCCTCACTGATCTTGAACCTCGGCTTGAATCTTGCCTCCTCCGAGAAGCCTTCCTGGACACCTCCTCGGGCTGAGTCTGGCTGTCCTAGGATTGCAGGCTTCTTCTCCCTTAGAGGGTCTAGGACTTTCTCACATCTTTCACTGTCCCGTCTGTAACCCTGGGCCCACTGCCTGTTCTTGTGTGAGCTGAGAATGGTTTTTACAGATGAACATATGCAATCGACATGATAGGGATTTGAACCGCAATTAAGCAAAGTGCTGTCCTCCCCCAAAGAATCCTTCTTCTTAGTAGACCTGCGCCACAAACATATACCAAACATTCATCAATAAAACGTTTATGTGGAAATTTGTTTCTTCTCTTGTTATATATGTCCTTGTGTGGTAGCCGCGATGTTGCCTCTTGGCCCATAAAGCCTAAAAGGGTTACCCTCTGGTCCTTCATAGAACAAGTTTGCTGACCCCTGGTCTAAACAACGTTGACAGAATGTGAATCTGGTTCTGTTATCTAGCATCTTCAAGCCCTTAGCTGGTCCCATATGTTTTTTTTGTTTAACAATTTTTACTGTTTTTATTTGGAGAGAGAGCAAGCAGGCGAGGGGCAGAGAGAGAGAGGGAGACACAGAATCGGAAACGGGCTCCAGGCTCTGAGCTGTCAGCACAGAGCCCGACGCGGGGCTCGAACTCACGAACCATGAGAGCATGACCTGAGCCGAAGTCGGACGCTTAACCGACGGAGCCGCCCAGGCGCCCCTGGTTCTGTATGTTCTAAGGACAAAATCCAAAGCCTTAGCGGGTCCAGGCCTTGCTCCCCACTCCGGTCTCATCGCAGCTGTCCTCTCTATCCGACTCTCCCAGGATGTCAAAACGCTCCTGTTTCTCAGGCCTGAGTCCCCCCCCAGGCCGTCCCCTCCCTGACCAGCATGCAATCTCCTCGTCTCTGCTCACACACCTGGCCTTCTGGGAGCTTCCTCTGGGCCCCTTGGGTTGGGGGTGGGTGCCCCCTGTTATCCCATCGCCTGCCTCCCCGTCACCGCATTGGGCTCTCTCTGTGGTCCTGTCGACTTGGCCTTAGTCCCCAGCGGCAG